GAAAGTCTGAGTGTGTTTTATGAAATCAAGAAAGTGACATGGAAGTTCACTGTTTTTCTTTTCTTGTATGAAGAAAGCAGTGACTGTATGTGTGTTTGTGTGGGGAGCACAAAGAAAGCAGGGGGTTTTGTGAACAGCTCTAGCTCTTTTCAGTAGAGATTCATTAATACTCACAATAAAGGTGTAGTTTGAACATTGTTATTCCCCCATCTTGTTGCCTGGAATAAAAAAAACAAAAACAACAACAAAAAAAAAAACCTAAAAAGAAAAATCACCGAAAAAACCCCAGCCAAAATCCCCACAAAAAACTCACGCACACGCTACAGAGACTATAGAGTGTGTCTATGTGTGCAAAATATTTGATACATATAGGGTAGGAGAAAAAATAGTCTGCTGAAATTTGCTGCTGCAGTCCTTAATGCTCTGTGCTCTGTATTTATGTTATGTCGTGCAGCAAGCACAGATTTCTTGGAGAACATTTTCCCTTCGAGAAAATTGTGTGACAGATTTTAAATCAAAAAACCCCCAAAACTTAGGTCTGTGACATTTTCCTACACACACTAATATGAGACAGATTACCTATAATATATAATGGCTGTTTCATTTGATAAATGGTGGTTGAAATCTATATGCAGATAATGCAGATTGTCTTTTTCAAGCTGGATCTGTAGAGGAACTTGTGCCAGGCACTTCGGAGTGGTATTAAGTTTGGCTCTGCTGTGAAAAGAATTGGCTGCTTTTCCTTCTGACACTTTGCAAGTCATGATGGATGGGAGGCAGGGAAGTAGGCATACAAGGATTTAAAAAGAGTAAATAATATTATGCAAAGTAGTTTAGGATCAAAGCTTTGTTTCTTGTCTGACCATTGAAAAGCTTCCATAATCCATGAGTAACAGGGCCTGCTTTCAAAAATGACTTTAAATCTTTAATCAAATTTTACATTTTATAGACTGTATGTACATATTTTGAAAGAAAATTGGTGTTGTGAGCTTGATTACAAACTCCAAAGAGTAAGAATGTTTTTTGCAGCATCTGAATGTGTGTTAAGAGTGTGCCAAATTATTGGATTGAAATGGAGTGGGATAGTAGAAGCACAGTCTGGTGTTACAGATGGAATTATAAATGTGCTAAATTTACTTGCCAAACAAGCTATTAAATATATATTTGTAAAAACATATGGTGTACTATAATGAATTTAATGAAGAATTGTGTCTTAAAGGAGGTCAATCAAATTCCATTATGCAGTGTTTTTGTCAGAGTCTGTGAAAGACGACTGTTGGATAACTAGAGCTTTATTTTGAAGTAAAAAAATTTGTGCACAGTAGACAAATCATCTATTTTGAAAACTTAGTCAATATAGGAGCTGACTCTTTATCTGTGAACTCTATTTAGATTATTCATCAGTAATCAAGAGATAAAGTTTGTTAAGTTAGAAAGGGTTTGGAGGGGTGAGGAGTGGAAGAAATTTTACAGTGTTCTTTTGAGACTAAAAAGACAGACCAGTTTTACGTGAAGTATTGAATTTCATTAAGACACGATAAGTAATTTGATATATTTCCATTTCTCCGCAGCAGAAAAAGTGCCCATAGAAAAAAGTAAAATAATTTACTTGAATTAGGATTGCTACTGCAAATTAATTCAGAAAGAGATGAAGGCATGTAGTTTTAAACTAAAGATGGAAATCACTGTGCTATTCCTGCAGTTGCCAATTACCTTTTAAAAATACTTGTATTGAATTAAAAAAAAAAAAAAAAAAAAGCTTTGTGAATATAACTTTAATTCCCAGATACAGTATGTTGCTTCTTGGCTGATAAAAGCATAGACAAGAAACATATGAATTCAAAAAAACCAAATGTTGCTTACTAGAAGGATTTACAAAACAAGCATTTATTATAACCTCAAGAGAAAAATCATACTTTATCAGTGGTCTGTATTTAAATGTCTAGCTCGCTGTTTTCATTGTGTATTTCTCTTTAATGGATTAAAGTATTTTATGCTAAATAGTATGCAGTAGGAATAGCTATCCTGATAAAACTTTTTTTACATCAAGGCTTCAAAATTTCAACAAAGTTTAAACATTATTTAGATATAACAATTATTTTACAAAGACTACTTTTAACATGAGCAGGCCACCCACAGTGTTGACTAGAGAAAATGGCATGCAAGCCACCCAGCGAGACTGATGTAATTTTTTTCATCTTTGCTTAAAGTATAGTCACTAGACCAGATAATGTAGAAACTTCTACACGCAATGATCAAAAAGGCTAAAACAGTTCCACTTTTTTTTTTTTTTTTGTTAATTAAAAATGAGTCACAAGTTGAAAAGTGCAAATAATGGCGTGCAATGTAAATCTTCCCTACTATAAATGAAATTCTGTTTTTCTGTGTTAGGAAATGAGCCTTGTTACAAAACAGAATGCTTTTTACTCTGGATAGAAAAGGTTTTAAGGCTTTTTAAAATGGTTTTTTTTTTTGAAGAATATTCACAGATATTATAGAAACTTAATTGCACAAAATTGTTGACCAAGGTTTGATCCTGTATGCAATGAAGACAGTAAGACATTTAATGCAATGTGAAGACAGTTTATAGTCATTCTGCTACAGTCATCCGCTAGTTAGACTTTTTTTTTTCCGTCATGTTGTTGGCTTAATCATTGGTACTTTTAAGTGACTCTATTAAATACCAAATATTGTTAATAACTTTGAGGACTTAATTTGAAAACAAAAAAATTGTTTGCAAAACCCAAAGATAACTCTTAAAACTATGACATTAACATAATGAAATTATACTTTTCTAAAAAGAAAACTTTCTGTGACTTTGTCCATATCCTGAGGTGCATAATTTAGTTGTAAAATGTAGATGTGGAGCCAAAGCAAACTGTAAAATATCTGCTGCAAAGTTAAGCATTTGAAATAGGGAAGAGTGATTGTTTTTAATTGCACAAGGGTCTTACCGCATTAAAATGCTAAGTGGTTCACTTTGAAATAGTGTTTCATCAGTTGTAAAATGTTAACACAGTTGAACAGAAAACTATAAAAATTAAGCAATAGTTACTCATTTGCTCTAAAAAAACTTGAATGACTCATTAAAATGAAGAAAATCTGTGTGTCATTTGAACTGATTTACTTTTTCTTATTTTCATCCTTTGAAAAATAGGAGCCAGTAATACAGCAGATACTTTATTCCAAGAAGTGCTGGGTCGCAAGGACAAAGCTGATTCAACAAGAAACGCACTTAATGTTCTTCAGCGTTTTAAATTTCTTTTCAACCTTCCCTTGAATATTGAAAGGAATATCCAGAAGGTATAATCCTTTGAAAATACTTTTCTATTTGCTGAAATTAGTCTGTTACCTTTTTCTTGAAAAGTATAAGTGTTTATTGTTTGTTTGTGTTTGTTTTTTTTTTTTAAGGGTGATTATGATGTGGTAATTAATGACTACGAAAAAGCCAAGTCACTCTTTGGAAAGACAGAGGTTCAAGTATTCAAAAAATGTAAGATACGATTTCTGTCATTTGCTACTTTTCTTTTTTTTTTTTTTAATGTAAAGTCTGAAAAGCACATAGTAGTCTGAAGAGCTTTATTTGGGTTTTATATGGATTTTAATCCATAAAAATTACAGATTTATAGGAACCAGTTACTCTAAACAATATTTTTGGCAAGTTTTCTGAGTGAGGTATATACTACAAATCATGAAATCACAGCCAATTTTATTTATTTATTAAGACTTGGTATTACTGAACATTTAAAAAGTTTACAGTAATTAAAATGTGACTTCAAGTATCTCTCACTGCATATTGTTGGCAAGACTTCAAAGTCCAATTTTCTGGTTTTGTAGAACTGTCAAATATCAAAACTTTCTGATGGCTTGTTATAAAATGAGTTTTATTGATTTCCACGTTAACTTCAGAAGCGTCTGTTGTCCTAGAAAAATAACATAATTTTCAGTTCATATCACTGCTAAAGGCACACATTGAATTTATTTCCTCTCCCTACTCCTAGATTATGCTGAAGTTGAAACCAGAATTGAAGCTTTAAGAGAACTTCTGTTGGATAAGCTTCTTGAAACTCCATCAACTTTGCATGATCAGAAACGATATATAAGGTAATCATTTGACTAGTGTCTTCATCAGACATATAGTGTTAAATGTCTATTTAAATCTGTTTCCTAAATAGGGTAGTGACTACTTTTTGCTGTGCTTAAAATACTAATTTTAAAGCTGTAAGCTAGAGTATATTGAGATTTTATGATTATATAAATGATGGCAATGGATTGGTTCTTGATTGTTTATTGAAAGATTGAAAATCAGTTCTTGAATGAGAGCAATTTAACAAAAGATAATTGAGACTGAATTTATTTTTTTAAATCTTTAAGGCATGTTTAGATTCTGTTGCTTCCTCTAATCCGTTATACTGCGAACTATGTCTGAAATGATCACTCACAGGTTGCAGATCTCAAAATAGATTCCTTATTAACTTGTCTTACACTTCAGCTTGACTTGGTGTTGAAATGGAATCATCCTGAGTCAGATAATAGGGAGATTTTAATCCAGATTGTCATTTCAATTTGGCTTTGGCTCTTTTATTACTCATTACTCAGTCTAACTGATGTAGTTCCTTTATATTTTGTGAACGTGAACCAGTTCCCTAGTTTTCCTTAAAATTCCTAGGTTTTCTATCATTCACAAAGCTGATGTTGAAGTCTGTTGTAGGCATACTGACATAAGTTGCTTGGACCTTTTTCTACTAGTAGACCTTAGCCTGCTTTGCAGTCCTTGGAAACAAACTTTAACATTTGATGGCTTTACTTAGAAAGCTTTTGAGTTTTGGGTGTTATTAGGGCTCCTAGTGTGGCTTGACATTCTCAATGCTTTTTACAGTTGTCTTAATAGATGTAGACCAAATGTGGTGTGTGAAAAGCATTCTTAAAATTCTAATGCCTGCCTGAGGTCATCAATACTTTATATGCTCACCAGGCCCAGTCACACAGGTCTGTGTATAGTATTGTATCTTAGGTCCCTTTACGTTATGTTAGTCTGAGGGAATAACCAGTGTACATCTATGTAGAGTGCTTCTCATTCTTCTGGGTGCTATAGAAATACTGCCAATATTCCAATATATAAAATATTGGAAATGCATTTTAAGCCTTTTTTGTTTCTGAGGAAGACACTGCTGTTTCCTTTCTATGTCAGTCACGAAAACCTTAAAGAGCAGCTTCTTTATTTAAGCCAGGTTTTATGACCTCCTCTAAAAATTCTTTGGAAGAATCAGAGCTGTATATGTGTCTGATTCTGAGGTGGGTTTTTTCCTGGTTTTGGGGGGGGTTTTGTCTGTTTTGGTTTGTTTTTTTTTCTTTTTTTTTTCTTTAGTTTTTCTCTAGCTCCTTACCTTGAGGTATTGAACCTTTACAAATATCCCAGCTTATGTTAAAACAGGCTGTGTTAATGTAACTACCAAATGCATTTCACGTGTAGAACAGTATAATGAGGAGTGCCGGGATTGGAGTGATGTGAAATAATTTAGTTCTAATCAATTAACAGAATCCCAGCATACAAAGTGATTAAATTAGTGTCATTACTCTGGATGTGCTAATGTGGTTATACTAATGTAAATTTTCTGGAGGCAAGGTGTGAAGAAAGCTTTCTTTAGAGCACTTCAGCTAAGAGGAAATTAACAAAATCCTAATTGTAAAATTATTTGCATAAAACCTGCTATTTTTAAGAGGTTTTTTCTTCCTTGATGTGTTTGTTTTGTATGTCTCCAATGTCTAAGGCTGACCAAGATGTGAAATACTGTGGTTTTCCCCCTCAGATGTTCAATGTTTATCTTCATAATTAGGCTTCAATTTATATTTTCCTCCCATTTTATTACAGTTTTTATACTATTTAGAAACAATTTACTATATCACTTAACAGCCAAGTAGGTGTATTTTTTCCAAGACCAGTGGTAATTTTTATTTTTTTTTAATTTTGTGTCTAAGCAAAGACTGAAGTCCCCCTTAACACTGAGGAGGGACTTGAGCTCATAATTTATAAATGTCATCCTGTCAAAATGGTTGGTTATGTAATGTTCTCATCCATCCAACCAATCCTACTTTGACAGTTTATTTTTTGTTCAAATACTACAGATCGTTCTCAAAGAAGACAGAATTTTGCAACACAGTCCTAATTAACATTAGTTATTATTATAGTAATACAGCTTTTGTGAAGGAGTTGAACGTTCACTGCACTGCTTAAGATAAGCTTTTTGAAAATTGTCTTGAATGCCATACATTAGACTATATTACTTCTGTGTTCTCTTCAAAATCACAACAGCAGACTTCTAATACTCCTCTGTCCCCAAAGATAGAGTGTTTTGCTTCTGTGTATTAGAAGCCACAATCTTTTTCATTATCTCTCCCATCTTTCCCCCCTCTTTATTTTTTCAGATTGTGTGTGCACATTTTAATGTAAAAAAACCAGCCAAACAAAAAAAAAAAACCTAAAAAAAACCCCTCCCACCAAAACCAAAACAACCAGGAGCTTGGTTTACATTTGTTTGTGCATGCATGTGCTAAAATTAATGAGCTGCCAAAAACTAATTCCTTCTGTACTTACTTGTTAAGGTTACGTGATGATACAATCAGGATATATAGAGTGGGAAGAAAAATACCATATTTTATGTGCTTGAGATGTCATCACTGATTCCAAGTGAAACATGAAGTACTGAATGCAACCTTAGCAGATAGAGAGCTTGGTTTCCCAAGTACTTTACTAGAGGCACAACTGAAAATATATATTAAAATGATATTAAATAGATATGGTTTTATTTATTTACAACAGTTTTTTGATGGAATTTTACTTCACTTAAATGAGAAAGGGAGAGTGCAGAGCTTGTGTTTGCATCAGGTATGAGTGTATCTTAACTATTCTTGAATTTTTAAAATTATGTTTTAAGAAAAAAGTATTTCTTAGTATATCTTTGGTCTGTTTTTTTAATGAGGCTTTCAGTGTGTTAAGTCAGAGCTGTGATTTTTGGACTGGGTTTTACAGATATCTTTCTGATCTTCATGCGCCTGGGGACCCTGCTTGGCAGTGCATTGGTGCTCAACATCAGTGGATTCTGCAGCTCATGCACAACTGTAAGGAGAGCTATGTTAAAGAACAAAAAGGCAAGGATGTATTTTTGTTTTATATATATTAGACACTTAGGAATTTGGCATTGCCTTTTATTTGACAAGCTTTACTGTACAAATGATATTTGGGGTTTTTTCCCATCAATTTTCATAGCTTTTTACGAAGTTGAATACTGACTTGTATTTTTTTCTTTATTCTATTATAAAAACAAAACGGCAGTTGGAGTTTTCTTTTGTTTAACTTAAAACTTTTAACCTCTTTACATGGGAAAAGCATTACATTTCAATCATTTATCTGAAGTTTACTGTCCTTTCAAAATACTTCTTTGAGGTCACATGAAGTTTGGATTGTTGTCTGAATCTGCCAGTTAGATTTCTTTGTCGCAAGATATGCCCTTAGCATATGGGCATGCAGGGCCTTGTGGATACATAGTGGGATAATATGTAATTTCTTGATACGCAGTGAATGATAATACACTGTTCTCTTGTTCTTCGTTTGTGTGCAGTTTCAAAATTCAGATTATACTGTTTGGACCACAGACCTGTGAGGTGGACAAATAAGATGTTTAGACAATATTATAGTAAGACAAATAAGAATACTTAGTTGCATTTGTCTTTGCCAGTGTTGCTCCTCGAAGAAACATGCACTCACAGGTATTGCTGACAGCAACTTAGCTACCAGTTAACATAGTCTATCACATTAGTTTATGTTCAAAAGGGAGTACATGGGAGGCTATTGGCCTGTCATTTCTAGTAGTAAATTCTGAAAACTGTATTTTTAAATTAGAAAATGACAAGTAGTGCCTTGTTTCTCAAGAAGTCTTATCGAGTTTGCTACTGTTTCTGAAATGAGTAGGCATATTGGAATCTGGCATCTCTTGGCTTGTAGGTAACTCGTATGTTTACTGTTAGTGCATGTATATCCCAAACCAAATAACCTGCTCTTTTCTGAGAAACCACAAAAATTTTACTGAGTTGGAACTGCTACAGAAATGTGCTGTAAAATTGCTGCAGGAGGCTTAAACTCTCTTTAGCAGAGGTTATGACATCAGGTGTAGAGTTCACAGGGTGCATCCTATATGACAGTGATGTCAGTCAGTTTTAGCTTAAAGCACGCACAGATCATCTTTGTTCCACAACATGGTGTGGAGTGCCATGGGCACAGCTAGAACACCAAGTTGATTTCTTGGCTTTTTGGTTAAAATCTAGAACATTTCCAAAACCTCCTCATCCTCCTTCCCTCCTCGTCAAAATCCTGAGAGACCACTGCCACCACCCCACCCTCCCTCAAACATACTGCTATCCGAAGCAAAACTCACTTGTAAAAACAACCACGGTTCACAATTCTAATTTCTTTTTCTCTGCTCATTTGCATAAATGTTAGCTGGCTCCCAGCTTCTTAGCAAGAAAAATAGAGACGTGAAGATACTAACAGCTTGCGACTGTTTTTGTTGTAGTAGTCTATATAATTGATATGCATGCTCCAATAAATGAAGGGAAAATGTGTCTAAATTCCAAGGCTTGTCTCAAAAATATCAACCTGTTTGGTGGTTTTCTTGCAACAAATCTCCCCTCAGCCTTAATATCAAAGGGGCTAATATGTTAGCAGCTTTGCTTGGCTCACAGAAGAGGGAATTTAAGTAACTTGAATGCCCAGTAAATGCATGTCTAAATAGTTAACACTTAGTGCATATAGGAAACAAATGTTAATATATTATCACTTTTATTAAAGAGCTCATCAAATTTCAGTAGTTTTCTTCCAGCCTTTTATGTGGTCCTTACTAATGTAGTGTTTGTACAGATTGTAAAATACTCGAGAATTGATCCATGTTGAGGGAATTTCTCTCTTAGTATCTAGTAGGACAAAGGAATGTTGGTAAACATGTTTTTTACTTTCCATAGATCTTTAGTTTTGGCATATAACAGACAGGAGAAGGAAAAAAAGAAAACTTGGAAGAATTGGTGTTAACTGCCAAGTAGAAAAATGCTGATTGTGATCAGAGACATGGAATGTATTTTAATCTACTTTAATAGATGTATGCTTTTCAAACAGGAAAATATGGGCTTTCACTCAGATATCAAATTGGTTATGCAAGACTGAGGAATCTCATCAACTTTAAGTTGGAAATGTGGTTTATATATTCATAAATTCACAGGCTATTTTTAGGAGAAAACAGTAATAAATTTTCAAACATCAAAGTCCTCAATTTAAAGCATGCTTCCAAAAAAGATTATTTTGTATATTAAGCATTTGAAGGAAGAGGTGAGTCGTAAGGTTGATACTTTAATGAAGAAGGCATTACATCTTTTTCTAGACTTCCCTTTTCAACAGGGATAATGGACATTGTTTCTAGCAGATGTTAGTCTTCCTATTGTGGGTGCTGGATTAGGCAGACAGCAATTACATACAGTTCCACCTCGAACTTACCAACAATTTCTGGCTATTCTTAGCTTAGTTCTTCTGCTGACTGTGAATCTGTGGGTTCAAACTGACTGAGTCAAAACTTTTCAGCATAGTAAACTTAAACCCCAGTAGCAGATTGTATCTACTTTTGCACAATTTTTCAGGTTTCAACTGAGTTAGTGCCAAAGCATTTTGCTGCTGTTTTATTAGTTTTCAAGGTAGAGCTGTGCCCACATGAATTTTACTACCCAAAATGGAGTTGGAATTAGATGAAAGCCTTTGCTTTTCTTACCTGGAAAAGTCTTTATTGAAAACTCTGTTAGACATGATGGGATTTTTGTAGCTGATTGTCAAACAGTAAATATTATCAAAGAACTTATTTGCTGGACTTGATGTATTCATGAAGGGAAGGTTAAGATTGCAATTATTTGCTAAACAAGCTAAAACCCAAACCTAAAGAGAGCTTACTCCAAATTCAATCATTAATATGACAAGCCAACAGTGTACTAAGTGGGACAAAATTATTCCAGCTGTCCCCATACTATTAGGAGATTGACCCTTTAGTCATTACAACTGAAATAATTTCATTTTCCTATATAGATATAGCATCTTCTCTTATCTTCTTTAAGAGATTTAGTGATGCATGATCTCATTCGGGCCACTAGTAATGGCAATCGGGACAAATCCGCAATACTGATAAGAATTAAATCTACTCTTCTGTGTCCTCTGTAGGTTCCTTATCTTTGTCTGATGATTGCTCTCTGTACTTTCAAGGGTCTTCTAAGCATAGTTGAAGAGTGGCGTGAGCTAATATACATGCTGAGGTGGTTGAAGGCGCTATCAGAAAATTTGTGTATTACAGATGTGTTTAAATACATGTTTATTTGGATTTTATATCTAAGTATATACTTTTTATCTAACTGTGAATACTTCACTCTCAGTAGTATTAACACATGAAAAGTTTTGATTATTTTTTTAAAAAAGCCTCTGTGCTTGGATGTTACTAGAGTTTAACTCCATTTTGTAGAAATACTCTGCAGTTGTAAGCATGTCCTAGAACTGTAAAGTATCATAGCATAATACAATCTCTGATGCAGCCGGAAAGAAGAAGCTGTGGCAAGATTACAGGGCTGCAATGGTCTTTGAGTTCTCTCCTGGAATTTGTTTCAGGGGTTAGCAGAAGTCCTGTGTGTTTCAAATTCTGGTTTTAGTTAATACAATTTGTGTTACTATTATTTCTAAAAGCTGAAAGGTATATCAAGCTGTGCTAGGCTTTGTCAAGTAATTTGGCAGTGTGGCTTTTAAAGGCTGACAACTACCAACAGCAAATTATTCAATTGGATATTTCCTTTGACTTTAATAGACAGTTATTAATTGTGAAAGATGAAGTAATCTGATCATTAGTTAGTTGGTTTCATTTATTTCAACAGGTACAAGTAGGATGGGAAATTTTCTCAAGTCCTGTGTATGAAGTACTTTACAGCAGCATTTTGGATTTCCCTTGAGGAATATCTCTGTATCTGTATTAATGTATTGTTTCCCCTCAGGCTTAAACAACCCTGTTGGTTTGCTGATTAGTCTTGAATTACGTAGATTAATGTTTCAACATGCTCAGATATGTCTGTTGTTACTCACCCATCATTGCCTGTCTACCTCTTCCTCTGTATAACCATAGTAGGTATTCCTCATTTGTAAGGTTAAAAAAAAAATAATACAGTCAGATGAATTTCATATTATGAGAAGCTGTTGGAATCCAAGTCCACATGTTTTAAGGAGTGAGTGAATATGTGTATATGACAGCAGATCAAAATTTCTCCTGCTCTGAAGTACTCTGAAGTATGGGCAGCCAGGACAAAGAGACCAAACAGCATAGCCAAAGGCATAATGGAAGCACGAGGCAGTACAGGGGATGCACAAATCCTAAAACTCCTGTGCTTGTGTCCTTACATTAAGCCATTCTCCTGCTTCTGTGGTAGTCCGAATCTTAAATTCAAGTTGCAGCTGTAGATTTGGGACCCACATGCAATTGGCTGGTGCTCTTGCTCTGCTGACATAGTGATGTTTGTAAATATATGGATTTATTAACTTTTTATGGTTGACATGTAATGTTTATTTGCCTTCCTAATGGAATTGGCAGTTGTGCTCTTCTATTGGTTTTTTTGCAACCTTTTTTTTTATTGTTATGAAGTTATTTCCTGAAGCATGATGGATTCCTTTTATAAACTTGATAGCATCCCACCATTGCTGCCCACTGGAAAGACCTGAAGTAGGTAAAGCCAGTTTGCTGCTGTTACTTAGTACATAGATACATTAGAGGGAAATGCATGAGACTGAATAGACAGAAAAAAGAACATTTTTTTGAAGGCTATGAATATAAAGCTTAACATTGGAATAGCACAATGCTCACTCAAAACAGTATTTCTTAAATCTCTAGCAAGAGATAGTTGAATGATAAACTGAATTGTGCTGGTATTTTATGCCTTGTATTGGCTAAAGTCTGAATTACTTAATATGAACTTTGAACTTAGTTTTCAGAAGTTTAGGGACTTTCAAACCTGGTACCTGGATAGTAAATTATTTCCTTCAATTAAGATTTTACATATTTGTAAATTTTAACTTTATTTGGCAATTC